ACCCAGACCGGAGCAGCGTGAAAGCAGTGGCTGTCTGTGCCATTGCTATGTGACAGTATAGTGACCATGCTCAGTAAATATTTTTTCAGGGACACCCAGGTGGCTCAGTTGGTTAAGCGTCTGACTCTTGATCTCAGCTCAGATCACAGTTTGTGGTATCTCACGGTTCGTGGGATTGAGTCCTGCATTGGGCTTAGCATGGAACCGTAGCCTGCTTGGGATTCTCTCTCCCTCTCTCTCTCTTCTGCCTCTCCTCTGCTTGCTTTAAAAAGTTTAAATAAACTTTTTAAAAATTTATTATTTATTTTTGAGAGAGAGACAGAGTACAAGCAGGGGAAAGGCAGAGAGAGAGGGAGACCCAGAATCCAAAGTAGGCTTCAGGTTCTGAGCTGTCAGCACGGAGCCCGATGAGGGGCTCAAACTCACAAACAGGGAGATCATGACCTGAGCCACGTAGGCGCCCTAAGGAGTATTTTTTATAAGGACAGAAGATGGAAGACAGACTGTTCATCAGAGCAGAAATGATTACGGATCTGGCTGCCCTGTTAGAATCCTGGCTCCACTGATGATCGGTGTGGGCCCTGGATGAGTAATTTTAAACTCTGTGCCTCAGTTTCCTCATTTGTAACAAGAGAGTGATAACAGTATGTTCTTCACAGGGATATTTGGGAAGGAGAGTGTGGTCAGGTTTAAATAAACCGTGAGATCACGGCCTAAGCCAAAGTTGGAAATTTAACCGACCAAGCCACTCAGGCACCCCAATAAATAAACTTTAAAAAAATATTTTTTCAGGGAGCCTGGATGGCTCAGTCAGTTAAGCATCTGACTGCAGCTGGGGTCATTATCTCACAGTCCGTGGGTTCAAGCCCCGCGTCGGGCTCTGCGCTGACAGCTCAGAGCCTGGAGCCTGCTTCGGATTCTGTGTCTCCCTTTCTCTCTGTCCCTCCCCTGCATGTGCTCTGTGGGTCTCTCTCCCTCAAAAATAAATAAACAAAAATATTAAAAAAAATTTTTTCCAGTGACAGAATGAATTTGTCATACATAGAAACTGAGAGAAGGAAATCATCAAGGTTAATGGATGCCAATTAGCCATGAGTAAAGTAGCCTCCTGACCTAATCAAGAGAGGCAGAAGAGGCTGGGACATTTGTGCCACCTCTGGATCCCTTAGTCATGAACTCCCCCATACACCCTTCCCTTCCTGCATTTCCCTCAAAGCTTCTAGACCTCCTGCAGTGCCTCCCTCACCCACGCCCATTGAAAGAAATCTGGTTTCATGACTGCGAGTGTTTCCTTCCCTCTTCCTCACCTCTGCTGTTCTCACCTCTCCCCCAGTCCTTCCCCGCACATCCCACACGTCCTGCCAGCCAACTCAGCTGGAAGAGTCTGCAGCTTCCCTGAGATGTCATCTGTCCTCAGATTCCTTGCTGAGCAGAAGGATTTGAATGACACCCTGAAAGAAGAAATGTCCTGACGTATCAGTGAGACACATCCCAGGCCTGGGTTTCTCTGTCTGCCAAACCAGGCTGTGCTGTGGGTGTGACATGAACAGCTTTGGAGAGGCCCTCGAAGCTTAGTGCCTCTCTCTTTTTTTTTTTAATGTTTTATTTATTTTTGAGA